AGTCACCTGTGTCTTGATGGAAGAAAGTGTGAGAACTAATGACCTAAGACATCCTAGTATGTATCACAGCCATGAGAGAAAATCCTCATTGCTGTCAACTAACCACCTTGAAATATAAAATTTTCATATGCTATGCCTTTTTTATTTATTTATTTATATTTTTGACAGTGCTGGGAGTGGGCTTTGAGCACACACAGGCTGTATCACAGAGCTTCATCCCCAGCCATATGCTATGTCTTGGGGGGGTTGGTGGGAAGGGGAGCTGGGCATTACTGGGACTTAAACTCAGAGCTTCCAAGGGCTCTACCTCTTAAGTCAAACCCCCAACCCCTTTTGCTTTAGTTATTTTTTTCAGGTAAGTTCTTGCATTTTTGCCCTGGGTCAGCCTTGGACCATGATCCTCCTACCTACGCTTCTAGTATATCTTGCGATTACCAGCACATACCACCACACTGGCTAATTTGTTGAGATGGGGTCCCTCTAACTTTTTTGCCTAGTTGGCCTCAAACATTGATTCTCCTAACACTGGTAGCTGGCCTGCCTATGTGATGCCTTTTTAAAGGGCTGGGAAAGTCATTCACACCAAACCCAAAGGAACAGTGTGGTATGCTTCAACTTTTCTTTTCTCCTGGCTATGCTTACTATTTCCTTCCTTAACTAATTACTTATCCAGCAACTCACATCAAGGTAAAAATACACCAATGCCTCATGATACCAAAGTTGAGAGAGTAGTGAGATGAAATACAACTATAAAAACAGACTACTACATATTTAGTGCTTGACTACAAACACTCAAGGTCAGTACATACATTACTGTCTTGTATAGTTTCATACTATTGCATAATAAATATTAACATGTCCGTTTTGCATACAATAATGGTAGTTTGAGAGCCATGAAGTGATGGCTGGAAGTCCCTCAGCTAGTGATCAACAAAGACAACGGGAGTAGAACCTTGGGCTCTTTGTCTGCAAAGCCTCTACTCCTTGTACTGCAAGTGCCACTATGAAGATTCCTACAGAGTGATGCAGGGCCTGCTGGTACTGCAATCATGTGACTAAAATATCACCACAGACTGCCTCAGCAGTCACCAAACTCAGAGCACAACCCCTCTTCAATCTTTAGTCATCAGGTCCTTATAACAGTTTCTCAAAGTAAATCAAAGGACTTCCCACCTAATTCAGAATCACCTGCTGTGTCAGATAAAATCTAAATTTCTGGGGCCCAAAAATAGTAAACCAAAATATCTGGGGATGGTACCTAGGGACCTCCATTTTTAGCTAGCACTTGAGATTGGTGTTTTTCAAACATAGTAAGCCACAAAGTCAGTTTAGTGGATGGTACTCAGTGCTTTTTGTTTAATAAAATAACTTGCAACAGATTCAACTTATAAAGATTAAGTAGGAATAGAAAATATCGGAAGGTATTATACTTTATACTATTTTGGAAACTTGTTTCAGTACAATTGTGTGGACTGGGATATAAAACATATTTCTTCCCATACATCACAGACAAATAGATCTAAGAAATACAGCTGTTTTAAACTATCCTCATTTCTCCTTTTAAATAAGTTACCAGTTTTTATTCAATTATTCCTTTTACAAAAAATAAAACCTTGTATATCCTTTTAGGATCTCAGTTATTCCATCCCAAGAGCTGGTTTACTTATTTAACCAACATTTTCAGTACTTTAAATTTTTCTAAGATGTCATAAACTCTAACTCATCCCTAATATTTTTTACTTTGTTTTTTTATACAACCTCCTTACTCTCTGTAGTTATTTCACTACCTAGATTCTTAAACTGACTCACATAACTTAGCTTTGTATTCCAGTAGGTGTGCAATAGTTCATGGTATTTAGTTCTTTAAGTCTTTCATTCCTTCATTCATCTTCTATTTATATTTTTAGATAGGATTTTTACTGGCATACCTTTTGGCATATCCTTGTATAGCTGGCACTTATTTCAATTTATACCACCTCTTTTTCTTTGAAAGGAAAAAAAAATGAAAACAAAACAATCCTCATTAATACATGAGGCTCTTCTTGGTATCTCTCCACAGGTTTAAAATGATGTGTAATGTACAAGCATTTCAAGGAACTGTAATTGCCTTCTAAAGGATAATATGACCACCTATGAATGTTGAGTGAAACTGTACTCAAAACTTTCCTCAGGTTTAACACAAAACACAGAGGTATCTACAATTCAACATAGTATGTGATGACTACCCTTGAGGTAGCACACACCTACTGATTGAATTATGGCCACAGAATCTTCAAGCTGGAAGAACCTCGTCAGTCTTCATTCTTCTGAGCAGTGTTTCTCAAAGGTCTAACCTAAGGAACATGTGCATCTGATTTACCCAGGACACATGACAAAAATGAAGCAGTGAAACTATGTTTTTGCTGAAGTTGGGGTAGTTTTCATTTCATAGTGAGAGTAAAGCATCTCACTTAGACCAAGGTAGTGAAATGTTAAAAAATAAGGTACACTTTGAAGTTCAAGAAAAGTATCTTCTTAAGTATTTGCTTAAGTTTAAATCTTAAATTATAGGTATCCCACATTGTTGGTGATGCCATATGTCAAAATTAACCGCCTAAATTAATTTGAATACCTCAACTCTAAACATTTTCTGCACTTTTGTGAGACACAGAGAATAATCTCAGGGATTTCCTTTAGTACAGCAAAAACAGTACTGCAGCAAACTTTTGTCACAATTTGCCAGCAAAATAGTGTCACTATAATGACACTATTTTCAAAAAGTTTTTTTAAAAAGGGTTAAACTGTGAAACCGTTATTACTTCTAAAGATTTCTAATATAAAGGTAACAGATATCCATGGTAAGATCCACTTAAAAATACAGCTCTTGTTTTTACCTAAGTTCTTCATGAAATATAGTAAAGCATATACTTTATGCTACTTAATGACTATTAATAAGAAATGCTTTGTAATTTTGCTGAAAATATGGCTTTATTACTTTAGCTGCTGAGTTGCACCACATTATTTTCAGACCCTTGTTCCTTTCATATTAAAAGCAAAGATATCTCACAAACTCTTAAAATCTGACACTTTTTAAAAAATCTGGACACAAGGACCAAGTTGGATTTTTTTCTTAAGTCTCAAAATTTTAAATCTTTTAAATAGCTAAGCCTCTAGTGGAAAAGTCTTCCTAAAACCACCTGAGTACTGCCAAAGATGTTAACACTACAAAACAACACCTCTGAACCACCTTTATAGTAACCAAGTATTAAATGTGAAATGCAAATTAAGGCTTCAGTTTCAGAACTTAATAGAGATATGCAGAATAATAAAATGGGAAGTTTGGAAACTCTTGACATGGAGTAGCAAAAAGCATGTTTAAATTCTTATTTTGATAAGGAAGTCTCAGACCCAATAAATATATTTTACATGCAAGTAACTGGTAATTCATCAACAAGGTGACTTAACGATCACAATTCTAAGTTTTACACTATTAAAAGCACTTCACTGACTTCAAAGGCCATCGCATTTCTTGAAAATATTATTTTAATGAAGCAGTCATTTGATATTTAGAAGAAATGCAAGAGCTCACCAGATTGCTTTTATTCTGGTATCGCTTCTCATATTAATTTCTGAATTGATCAAACACATTTCCATGGGGAAAGTAACACTAAAAGTTTGCTACAGTGAACAAAATAATGTACCTCACATGCATAAATGTGGTGTTCTTTATAAGCAGGAATACATCTTGAATACTATTACTGTATGTTCAAAAAAGAAAAACACTCCTCCCATACAAGTTAAGAAAAAAATCAACGGCAAAATAAAAATCCATGTATTTTGGTGTGTACTAAATTCATCTTACGGAACAATCTCATTCCAGTCACTCCAACCAGCCTGTTATATATGTGATATATTATGAGCTCTCCAATTGCACAAACTACCTAATCATAAGGAGTAGTGTAATATTTACATTCCATAAAAAGCACTGCAAACAGAATTTTAGATTATCTAAGGTCCCTAGTAATGTCAAAGTATATGTTGTTACTAGATGGAGACTTACCACAAAGGCCAGATCTTCAAATAGAATTCCTCTTAATACTAAGACAACATTTTATTAACATACACAATATTCCACAAGCAAACTAGTGAACAAAACAAGTAAGGTCCCTGAATTTTCTTTCATGGAAAACTGAATTCAATCCCTGTTCATTCACAAAATACAATTTCCAAATTCACTATGGTAATAACATGAAACACCATAGCTGATTTCAAAAATTTAGTACAACTAATTTTCTTAGCATATCAGCAACTCAAAATACCAGGGGTGTTCCTTTACACCAGAGGGGTAAACTTGCAGGTTGGCTTTCTGCAGTTTCAGCTCACTGTAAGGCTCTAGAAATCCTGCTTCCACTACACCATTACCTCTCACAAACTTTTCAGGTACTTACTGTCCCACACATATTTTGCAGTTTCTTCCACTTGAGAGGCATACATTAGAAAAAAGGCACTTAACAAATCTCAAAGTTGCTGTTTATTTTTTACAAAGACTAAATGCTCCTAATTTCTCCAACTACATAAATTTTGAAGGAAAATATGATCAATTTTGAATCAAGCTTGTGCACTGAATACTAAATTTACTTTATTGTCTTTTCTACAATGCTTCTTCAAGTTTTTAATAATTCCAGCCATACACTGCAAGTCTTTTATAGTACTGTTTACCAAATTTACTAGGCTTTCGACTGTATAAAATTTCATTATCAATTGAAACTCCTCGAAAATCAGTTTTCAATGACACTTGCAGATAATAAATGAACATTTAAACTATCTTAATAATAACCTACATCTGAACTCTAAAGACTAAGAATCATAAATGGACTTTTACTGTGAGAAATTCGGTGTGATAGGCTTTTTGGAGTGTTGTAACCCCAATAAAGCATCTTCTTATATGAACAATAATAAAGACCCTTATGTCATTACTAATAGCCATCCAATTTCCCTGTATGAAGAGTTTGCATACTTACCCAGGAAGATACGTGGGAAGTACACAGGGAGGAAGATGAAGCCTTTGTCATATGATAGTGACCTATAAAGTATCAAATGAAGGTACATCGTTAGTATGCAAGGCTTTACAATAAACAGTAGAGTCCCAAGTCCTGTAGTATCTATGAAGGAAGGACATCAAAACCCAGGAGTTCAACTCCCCACCAATCCCTTTCCTTCTCCACCCTCCCCCGCGCAAGAGCGGTAAGGGTAGGAAAGGGAAAGCAGCTACCCATATTCAAAGGGGAGGGGGGTAGCAACCCAGCTGGCATTCCAGGATCTCTCCAGCACCCTGGCTTCCTACTGCCTGTGGGTACAAAGCAGAAAGTTACTCCATTCTGCAAAGGCAAAATCCACACGGTGATCACTCATCAACTTGCACAAGTGATCGCCACCGCTCCCAGGACAAATATACCAGTAACCAAATCATAGAGATCCATAGGCAGTCTGAGTCTTGCCCTGCCCAGGAGCCAGGGGAGGTGCCACCGAGGCGGCAGCGGGTCCAGGTATCTCAGCCCTCAGCCCTGCAGACCTGGGCGGTCACAGCCATCTCCCTAAATCCCGCCCCGGGTCACAATCCCGAGATTGGAGATCGGAACCCACAAGGAAAACACCAGGCTGCAAGCGATGGGCCACCAGGTCTGTGGAGTCGGGGTGGAGGGAGCTAGGAAACGGGAAAGGAAGCAGGGAGTGAAGGATCCCACCCTGGCTTTGTTGCTGGTCACCATCAAGTTTGCATCTTAGTACAAAATGTCGATCTTAAAGGCTGACAAGACAGAGGCAAAGGCAGAGGGAGAAAGAGAAAGGCAATAGAGTCCATCTTGCTTTGGGGAAGAGGGGAAAGAAAATATAAATGAAGTGCAAATCCTACACTCCAGGCGTAAAAGTCTTCTAACACCTTTCCACAACGGAGGAGCAACGAGTGGGGTGTCCCCGTACCCATGCCCGCTCGAACTGGCGGCGGTCTGGGCAGAAAACGCCTCCCTCTCCTTCTCTTCTTCCTCCTTCCCCTCCTCCTCCCCTCATTCCTCCTCCTCCCGTTCCTCCTCCTCCTCCTCCCGCGGGCCCCGGCGAAGATCCCGCCGCCACCGCCTCAGCCTCCGCTGCCCCCCGAGAGGCGCCGCCGCCGCCCGGCCCGGAGCTACCATTCCAGGCTTGGACCGCGCGGCGGGGCGCGCGTGGGGCCGGGCGGCCACGCGGAGACGTCCGCGCCGGGGGACCCCCCGTGCCCCCTGGCAGCCGGCTGGCTACAAAAGTCGCGCGAGCAGAGGTGGCGGCAGCGCGCAGGGCAGGGGGGCGCGCGTGGGGCCCACGCCGCGAGTGGGCCACCCGGGGATGGCGGAGAGCGCCCCTCCCCGCGGGGGGAAAGTACCCCAGTCCCCCTCCAGCCAGCCCCGGGAAACAGCAGCCCCGCGTCCGCGGCGGAGAGAAGAGAACTGGACGTGTCATTAGCAGGACAGGCAATGGTTTCAAAGCCCCAGGCCAATGACCATTAGCCGAGGCAGAGCTCGCTCCGTCCCCATCCCCCACAACCTCCACCCACCTCCCTCCTCGCCCCCCCCCACCTCCACCCCACCTCGCGAAACTTTTCAACAAGATCCACCTGGACTAATTTGTCCTCAGTTAAAATATTGACTAGTCCCCATACGCTGGGAGGGAAGGGGAAGGCACGCTTTATTTTCCTTTCTACAGAAAGGAAAGCAAAAAATAGCTTCTCTCTGTCTCTCCCTCTCCACCCCCCCCCTCCTGTCGTACATGTTGTGTCTTAGCTTTTTGCATCGTTTCGTTTTACCTTCCTCATTTAGCAGATATCACCGCGGATCTTTCACACATAAACGTGTTTCAGATCCAGGGATCCTTGTAAAATTTACCAGACTCGGGTTGTTTTCGGTCTCAGTTAAGTTTCATACAATACCCCCCCCAAATTAAATAAATAAATAATACATTTCTGAGGGTGAGTGGTGAGCGAGACGAGGTGGAGGAGGAAAAGAAACCTCGAGCCTGATTTCGGTCATTTACTAGCGACCCGGATCGCAGCAAATAACAGTGTACCACGAGTGTGGCTTCGGAGAGCTGGGGAGCTCTTTCTAGAGGCATCGACCCCATCCCCGGATAAAGGATCTGCAAGTTTTCTGTCATCGCGACCATGCAATGCCATAACTTACCTTCAGAAACGAGACTTCAAACAGCCAAGGCCTTCCTCCTCCTCCCCTCCACCACCACCCCCAGCCTCCTCGCTCTCTTCACCTTAAACTTATTGACACAACATAATCCCACATTCAAGCAAAATCCTGACACAGCCTTCCTCCTCCTCTTCCTCTCTCCCCCCCTCTCTCTCTTCCCTCCCGTTCTCGTCCTCTCCCCCCCCCTTCCCTCCCGTTCTCTCTTTCCTCCCTCCCCCTTCCCTCCCTCTGCTCTCCCCTTCTCCCTCGCCCTCTTCCCCCTCTCCCCCTGTTCTTCCTCCAGGCTACTCTGGCACTAAAACAGCACTTTCTCTACTCGCCGCGCATTTGGGCAGGGGTGGGGGTGAGAGGGCACAGATCCGCGGGGCCGGAACACCCCAATCCCAACTCTCCAGATGAACGAGCAACTGGGCTGCTGTTCCCGGTCCCCAACGCACACGAAAACGCTCCCTGGACCCGCGGGAGCTTGGCTCCCGCACCTTCCTCCCCCCCCACCTCCTCGGCCCCGGCGCCCCAGGCCCCACCTCCCCAGCAGCCTAGAGAGACACAGAGAGAGCGGAGAGAGAGAGGGGGAGAGAGAGAGAGAGAGAGAGAGAGAGAGAGAGAGCGAGCGAGAGCCCAGGCTGGGGCTCCACGTACTTTCGCCGAGATGAAGTTTGGGGCTCCCCGGGCGGCCGCGAGCTGCCCGCCCGCCCGCCGGCGTGAGGGCTCTGTTGTTGTTTTCCTCGGGCTGCTCAGCCCGCGCCCCGGCTCCGTGCCCCCTCGGGCGGCGCTGCCCGCGCGTCGAGAGGTGCTGCTTGCAAACGCAGCCTGGCACCGGCTGGCCTACTACTCCCCAGCCCGGCCCCCAGCCTCCCAGCCTCCCAGCCTCCCAGCCTCCCGCTCGCCGGGCACTGCCTCCGCGCCCCCCGCCCCCGGGCCCGCCGGCGCGGCCGCCCGGCCCGCCGCGACCCTCGCCCCCGACCTCTCCCGACCCAAAGTTTTAGCGGAGGGGGAAAGTGCCCTGCGAGCCCGGCCGGCCGGCAGTGGCAGCCCCGGACGCGCGGGGTTCCCTCGTCTTCCTCAAGTCCACCCTACCGGCTGCCGCTACCGCCGCGCCGCCGCCGCCGCCGCCGCCGCCGCTGCGCCTGCCGCGGAGTCCTTGGGGCTGCAGCCCGGCTGCTCGCAAGTGAGTAGGAAAACAGAAAGTGCGGGGAAAGCGCCCGAGGAGCACTGGGGATGGGGGCGCCTACCTCGCGGGCTCGCCGCGCGTGAGGGCGTGTGTGTGGCTCGCCCTCAGGGCCAGTCAGGGCTTCTCTGTGGGAAAGTGGCGAGGAGCTCGCGGAGCCGCTCTGCCTCCGCTTCACTGTACACTGCTCCACATACAGTACATGCAACCCGGAGAGACTGAAAACACTCATTTTATATAAGGCAGCCTGCCATTGGCCCGCGCCCTGACGGACAGGTCGCGCAGCCAAACAGAAGGCCCGTTACACCCAAACACACGCACACATACACACATTTTACAGAGACACACAAAGATCATCACATTTTCTGTTTTCTAATGTTCGGGACCTGTAGACAGTAGGAGAGGACAGGTAGAGAGGCCCAGTAGAGTGGCGTAAAGGGAGAAAACCCTGTCTCTACCACGTTACCAGGCTCGAAACTGATGTCCTTTTGACTTGGGAGGGTTATGGTAATAAACTACAACTCTACTGGATATGGAAGTGAGGGGGGTTTTTTGATCGCAGCCCTGTGGTGCCCTGTGAAAGAGGCGTGCATCGTGTTAGGATCTTACAGCCCGACCTGGCTAACAAGTAGCCAAGAAAGACTTCCATCAGCTTGCATTTCTATTGTCAATGGGTCAGCTATCACATAGGCCAGAATAGTGCCAGATAAGTTTATTAGGACTATAATGCATTGAGGTGGTTAATGCCTCATGCCTAGGTAAAATCAGAAAAATCAATACACAACACGCACAAGCAAAGATCAACATTTTGCTAAAATAGCCAGTCTGCTTTCAGCTAGTTAGAGGAGTGCAATCACCTGTGTGGATGTGCAAACTGTGCTATAAGAGTAAGTCATGGAAGATGAGCTATTGCCCCTTTACCTCAAAAACAGGCCTTTTCATTCAATATGTGCAAGATTTATATTTCTATAGTGTATATCTATCTATAGATAGATGGATAGATAGATATATAGATAATGTGGGTTGTATTTGCCACATTTCCCATCATATGTGAATACTCTATGTTGGGTGACTTTTGGAGATGATGAACTTGAGAGCTAGTCTTTATTTTTTTTCTATGATACATCTTCTGCAGATTATATTTAACAGTATGCTATAAACAAGTCAACAGGTTGCTGGGAAAAAGCCAAAACTGGAAATTAGGAATAAATGTGACACTCAACTCTTAAATTAACTAGTTGAGCAATTTTCAGCGAGTTATTTAGTCTCTTTAAGTTCCAGAGTTGATTTGAGTTTTTATTTTAAGATTAAAATAAGCAGCTTTTCCAAGATTGCCTTCATTAAATGTTTATTCAGCATCTACTATGTGCCTGTCATTATCCTAAGACCCAGATGTTTTCCTAAGGTTCTAAGACTCTGAATTATTCTTAAACACAAACATTTTGAGATTAAGTAAACAATATGATTTTATAACCTAGATACATTGCTTCAAAACTTAAAGGAAGCCTGAATAAGACTTCCTTTATAAATGGGACTTATTTCAAGTCCGCTTTTATTTCCTTGATACCATCTTAAGGTTTTTCTCTCACATCCATAAAGTTGATGAAGTTATCAACGAGTGTGTGTATTTGTGTAAGAGTGGAAAAGAGGAAACAGATACAGAGAAAACTTACGTTTATGAAGTTCAGTAAGCAAAGTGATATTCAGAACAATGTTTTGTTTATTTTAAAGGAAAATAATTTATGAAGAGAAAGTATAAATACCAGTATTTTAAAGTGATAATATTAAAGGTTATATTAATGACCTTCTGCATTTGGTTGACAGAAGGAACAAAGTGTTTTTTATCCATGCTACACTGCTCTGAGGTCTGTGCTAAGTATTATTATCTCTATTTTACCCATAAGAGAAATGAGGCAAGGACAAATTAGATAGGTTGCTTGGTATTGCACAGAATGCCAATGAAGAAGGAACATAAACCCAGGACCTTTAATACGCAGCACAGGTTTTGAATACTTGACAGCCCTTCCTTCCAAATAACAAACTTGAGGGACAAAAGGTGGGTGGAGGAAAAACTTTCTTAGATTTCACTGTGCTTATTTTTGAGGAGGAAAAAAAGCAATGAGTTTCTCTATATATTTGCTATGCAAAGTATTATGAATTATTTGCTTGTATGTATTTATGTGTTATGAAAATATAATAGACCACCCCCTCTTTTAACTCTAATCCCCACCATAGAAAAACATACTTTATTTTTAATAGTCACAAAGATATTTTGGTGAATTACATTTATCTTAAAAGAATTATTTAAAGGTACTGTATTCAGACTTTTGGATCACACATTACTGTTAAATGAGCATGTAGCCCATTATATTTATGCATACATTAAAATGTACCACTGTATGGGAATATTATTTACTATTATAAAGCATATTGTCACAAATACAAAATGAAAAGGCATGAGATAGATTTTTCTAATTAAGTAAGAGTTTTAATTTCTTCCATAGTCCATTTGAATGTAGACCCTTGATACAGTGTTAGCACATATACCTCAGGGTTTTGTATTCTGGTTTGGAGGCCTCTGACTGCACAAGGTGCTAACTGATCAGGATTGGTGCACAAGAGCATAAGGAAGTTTGCTTTGAAGTAACTCCTTGCAAATCATTACTGGAAGACTGGTAAGTTCACATAGCCTTTAGAATTTGGAAAATTGCACTTTTTAAAAACATGCATTGAATATTAGTGGTATGTTTGTAGATATTCTTTTGCAGAACATTTATCGAATGGGTTCCGTGTGCTAGCTACTTGTATATACCAGATGTTGGGAAATGAAAATTGTCTGCCCCTGGGAGAACTGACAAAATTCCAGCCTCCCATATGATAGATAGGACCTCAAGAGTAAGTAAGGAAAGAAGGGTTAGAATTCTAACTTTCATGGAATATTTAATTATTTTAGAAATGCTTTTTAATTTTTAATTTTTTTAAAATAAATATCAAATTTTAAATTCTAGTGGCATTCTAAAATTAAAAATACGACCAAGAAAAAAATGATGACTTTCACAGAATTTATTTAATTTTATGACGTAGTGCTATAAAAATAGAAACTATTAATTCACTGGGTAAAATGACACTAAAGAGCATCAACACTTTCTTTCTTGTTTTTACATTTGGTGGTCAATCACAGGTTGACCTCACATGGCTAGCATCTTCTTTCTCATGGTGGTGATTGTCCATTTTCTTAATCTTATTTTATATGAATCCTTTTACATAAAGTGATTTTAGAAAAACCAGATGTGGTGATGCATGCCTGTAATCCCAGCACTTCAGAGGCTGAGTCAGGAGATTTGCAAGTTTCAGGTCAGCCTGCAATACATAGGGAGTTCAAGGCCAGCTTGAACTACACCAGACCCTGTCTCAAATAGTAATAATAATAATAATTTTTGAAAAGCAAATTTAAGTGTGTATAAATGTGTATATACAAATTTGTGTGCTTAAGTATGTCTATAAATAATTTTATTTCCTAATTTCTATTTTACTTCTTTATACAATCCTAATTAAAGTCCTTAGTTTGCCACTTCCTAGCTATATAACCTTGGGAAAATTTCATAATCTCTTGAGGACTCAGTTTCCTTGTTTTTAAAATAGGGATAATAAGAGTAACCAAAAACTAAATGATATATATAAAAATCTTAAGCCTGAAATATAATAGACATTCAGCCAGTGCCATATTTATATACCTCTCGCACATACAAGACAAAAATATTGCAGAAAGTTTTGTAAGACTTAACTATGATATGAATGGAATTTATGGAACCTGTTGCAATTTACTTTCCTATTGTTTACAATTGCCTTTTAGCCTACACTTTACCAACTCCAGCATCTCTGCACATAATAAGAAATATCAGCCTCATCCTGGATAATGCAAACAGTTTATTAGGTGGGCATTATTGAACACCTAAAAAACAAACTTGTAATAAATCATTCTTTGAGACAAGCTCTGTTTTAAGCATTGAAATTCTAGATAGTTGCAGTCTTACATAACAGTTTATGACTTGTACTTGAACTTTCTGAACTTCACTTTTTTTCTATATAAGAAAAATAAGGGGGAAAATCACACCTCTTCTTTTAGGGCCACTGCAAGGGGGCTAAAAAATGTAACTCAAACAGTGGGACCACTGTCTCATCACCAATGCAGAGATTCATATTCTTGATGAGAACCAACTTCTATTGGGTCACAGCAGAGTTCACAAAAAGAATGGAGTACCTTACCCTCCTAGAATGATGCTTGGATAAGCATTTTGGAATTCTTACTCCCCTGTGATCTTCTGTAGGATTTAATCTGCATTTATATTACTGATGTATTGCCAGAAATATTTAAGTGATGGCAAACATCTTGAGGAAAATGATGATGTCTCCCTCTATATTTTGTCTTCTAGTAATGGCTAGAACAATAACTAGCACTTTGCCTGACATGTAACAGTGAATCAACAAAGATTTGTAAAATAAATGGAGAAAACAAGCAAAAACAACTATTAATTCTAAGAAGCTCGTATAGAATTCAGAGGTGAGTAAGAGAAGTAAAATATCAGAGAAAATTGTGGGTACCAGATAAATGGTAAACAATACTCATAGATTACATTTTCCTATTATTTTAATTTTCTGAAGCATTTTTACACTTGAGGTAGCTTAGCATACTCACTAAAGTCAACATGAAGTACATAAAATGGATAGCAGGAAAGTCTTTTCAAAGATGAAAGAATTTGGGCTGGTAGAGTGGCTCAAGACTAAGAGCATCTGCCTAGCAAGCATGAGGCTGAGTTCAAACCCCTATGCTGCACTCCCACCCCAAAAAGAGAAAGGAAAAATTGAAACAAGGAAAGATTAATTGATTTCCTCAGTAAAGAGCTGGGTTATTACAAAGGTTCTAGAATGCCTTCTAGTTCTGTCAAAACTTTCTGCTCTTTTTTCTTTTTCTTTCTTTTTTATGTTCTTCCTTTTTTTTTTTTTTTTTTTGAGAGGAAGAGAGGACTACCAGGGAATCACTTAAGGGTTATACCATAAAACCAGGTCTCTACATGGACAGTGATGTTACACTTGAGGACTTGCTCATCACTTAACATTAGCAAGGAGTTTTTTCTAGCCATCATCCCTTTAGAAACTTCAACATTAAGGAACTTCTGCTAGAAAACATCCAGCTCCTGGCAACTCCTTCTTCCAAAATAATCTATCATTTCATCT